TGGAGCTCGAACACATGACCCCAGCTCTATTGAACATACACAAATGAGTGACACCATTCTGGGGTAGCATCTGTCTGACACTTTGATTTTGGGGTAAAAACAATTCTTTACAATGACATTATAGCCTCTTTGGCATAATTGATCTATTTTGGGATCCTAATTATGCACTACTTGATTATGTTAAATTGGATATTAATTTTGTCCTGTATTAATCTTCATTTATGGTCAAAATAATCTATAGGCTTACTCATAATTTAAAATGAGAACATGATAGAGAATTTACATCAATCTCTGAGTTTCATATTTTAGTCAAAATGGTTCTTCATAAATTAAAAAAGAAAATCATTAATAATATTTAGGGGGTTTGATTTTCAACTTAATAAATAAATATAAAATTAAGGGGTTTTAAAATGAGTTAATTTAACAAATCATTTATTAAATTTCATATTCTTTTTAATTTCATCTATTATTTTTGAATTCTTCCAACCCTATCTATTATCTTTTACAATTATTTCAATTTCATCTAATCCGTTATCTTTAACGGAATCTTCTAAATATTTAATCCTCTAACTGTATATCTTTTGATCTTTTAGTCTTTAAACTTACATTCATTGTAAAACTAGTTTTTATTCTTATTTTACAAAATGTGTTTTTCATAAAACCGTTTTACAAAGCAAATTGTATGTAGTTTGTTTTATAAAATTATTTAAATGCCTTTAATTTTATTTTTATATTATTTTTTCAAAGACATCTAAATAATTTTATGGGATAGACTGTATACAATTTACCCTGTAAAACAGATTTACTCTTAAAACTTCTCATTTTGAACTTACTAAGTTTCTCTATTTGAATGGAGCTAATTGTTCAAGTTTATTGCAAATTCTAATTAATTTATTTCTATAAAATATTTTTTAAGTCATTATATTTTATTAAAATTATAATGTCATTTTTTAAAAACAACTTAAAGGACTACTATTTCCGTTAAATCTAACAAAATTTTGTATGTAAACTATTTTGAAATGTTTTCCAAAGTTTATAAACCATTTAAAAAAAATTTAGACTAAAATAAAATAAAATTGATAATTAATAAACTAAAAATTGAATTAAGCCGCTTTAAAATGGTGCAGAAAGATCAGCTATTGACCACGACCGTACCATTTGCTTGGTCTATTGAGGTTTGATTTAATTCAAGGCTTTTAATAGGGGCCAAGGAACATGGGCTGGATTTGGAAAGTCCAGATAGAACTTGACGTTGGAAGGAAGAGAAAATGTATTGATAAAAATGTTAATTTTATAATTTTTTTTAAAAAATGATGTGAAATTTTTTTAGTTTTTAATTCAAGTGAAAAATTTTTATTTTTTTCTATTTAAAGCTTAAATTTTTTTATTGAAAAAAATAACTCTGTATTTATCATATCAGTATTATTATTTAATTAATTTTTAAATAAAAAAATAGAGTTGATATTTTTAAATAAAAAATTATAAAATTAATAATAATAATAAAGAA